ACTGTTCGCCTGAGGTAGCAACAAGACTGTTCTGTCGTCCACGGCCCGCCGCGACCATTTGTTCCATTAAACCAATCTCCTGGAGCCTCTGGTGAAAACACACACACACACACACACACGTACCCACAAACATACTTCAACAACTGCTTGCACAGCTCATGCCACACATGACCTCCTCCCTCCTTCACTCCTTCAGACTCACGCACCATCTTTCTTGGTGGGGGCCATATGGCCTCCTGAAGCCTGTGGATGTAGAGACACATCTGCGTGTATATGTCTCAGCCTCAGAGAGCTGCTCACTGAGCTCACACACACACACACACACACGCGCTCACATACACAGGCTGACACACTACTGTCACTATGTGTTTAAGCGAGCGTTGGTGTTATGTTGGTCTGTCATACGTGTGTGTGTGTGTGTGAGATGCAGGCTGTGTATGTGACCTAAGTGTGTACATGAGTAGTGATAATTGGTGAAACAGTCTGTGAACAGATGCAGGGTGAGGAAAGGTTGTGTGGCGTTTGGTACGGAGAGCAGGGGGAGGAGGGGGAGGAAAAGGAGAAGGAAGTGAAAAGACGAGGAGGAGAGGAGGAGGTGAGTTTACAGCTGGGAAATAAATATTAACTTTTATCTTCTCTTTTTACAGAGGTTTTAATGAACAGACGTGAATTTGGTTTCTCTGACTGACTGACTGACTGACTGTACTGACTGTACTGACTGACTGACTGACTGATTGAGGATTTGACTTCAGGACTGAAGAAAACTGTCAACATTTCATTAACCAGGTTAATGAAGACGTCAACCGTCAGGTGAATACCAACGAGGGTCAAAGACTTTGAGGATTTGACTTCAGGACTGAAGAAAACTGTCAACATTTCACACGGTTCACTGATCGTTTCATCTTCTGCAGCTACAACGATGTGAAAGTCAAAATAATCATAAAAAAGTATTGTGTGAATATTTAGTTTTATCTCTAGTTTAAATAGATTTCCTGTGTATTTTAACAAAATATATTTCTTATAACTAACAACAGAAATACATCTCGACTGAGGAACTTCAGTAAAACACAGGTTACGGAAATATTGTTTTTTATGGTGAAGCTGACGTGAAATAAAATCCCATTAAATTTATATGACTGTTTTATCTGAACTATTCAACTTATTTGATGTCATTTAATTCAAATAATAAATCCAAAAGTCAAAGGATTAATTCAACATTTACAGTAAATCCTTTACCTTCTTTTCATCTAACTGCTCTACAGCTCCTCTTCTCACCCCCCGCCCTCCCCTCTCTCCCTCCCCCCTCCGTTCTGTCCCTTCAGTGTCAGGAGATAGACGCACACACACACACACTCACACACACGCACGCGTTCAGACAAACACAGCAAACAACAACACAGAAATAGTGAAATAAATAATGAAAAGCTCGTGTGTTAAAACCCCTGTGTAGTTTGGCATCGACGCGTCCATGTAAAAATAAATCAAGCTGATTTTCCAAATGTTTTGTGCGTGGTGCGCTGTTGCCGCTCTTCGCAGCACAGATTGCGGGCCGATGGAGAGGCTGTGGGGAGGGGCGGGGCGCTGGATACTCTGCCCACTTACACCAGCTTGTTAACACATACACCTTAACCCTGGGGCGGTGAAACCACAGGGCGCCGGGCGAGCACCCGGGCCCCGGGGTGGGGGGGGGGAGGGGGGGGGCAGGCGACATATAACCGACATATAGACGCGAACACACGGAGGGATTAGCAGAACATGCCAGTGCTGTTCAGAGGAGAGCGCCGCCATATGGAGAGAGGAGCGGCCCACATGCTTATACATGAACATAAACATCAGTGTCTGTGGGTGGAGGAGAGGGGGAGGAGAGGGGGAGGAGCCGCAGAAAAATACACTTTAGTCTTAACACGGAGGCTGAGCCGTGGTCTGGTCTGGACTGGACCACGGTCAGAACCAGTCCAGTCCAGTTCTAATCATCCTGGAAGGATATTACTGTCTTACAGTACTACTACTGCTAATACAAATACTACAAAACTCAAATGGACAAAAAAGAGAACCTTATATAATATTAAAAATGTGACGATAAAATATTGTTTTACCTTAATGTTGTCCTGATCAGACTTTTAAAGTGTAAAGATAATAGATCTAGATATATCTATATATATCATTATAACCGTAATCAATAAATCACATTTATATTTAAATTGACATCGCTTTTTTTTTTTACTGTTGAAACTATAAAAAGTGTCGGAGGAAAAAAAATGACAACATTTTTACAAATGTTTCCGTCACTCAGTCACTGGTCTAACTCAGTCCTGACCACTGACCACAGCAGACTGTGACCTCACTGAACTCTTTGTTTTTGTCTGAACTCTTCTTTTCGACCGGTCCACTCCAACAACAACAGCCTTAAAGTTTGTAGAAGAAAAGACGGAGGGACAGATGAGGGGACGACCTCGGCCACGTGAATCGCACCTCCGTCATCTCCACCATTCACAACAGACAACCTGTGAATGTCACATGACTCCGCCGGCCAACACTGACCGACACTGACACAGCCTTCAGCAGAACTCACACGGCTCTGACAGTTAGTCTGAAAGTAGAAGAGCTGCCGAGGGGAGTCCACTCCAGAGATTGTTAAATATCAGGAGGATTCATCGACTAACTAAGTGTCAAAGCAGAAAATAAAACTCACTAAATGCCAAGAGTGATTACTGCGGTTCAGATGGGAGAAGAGAGAAGTTAGGAGCCAACTTCCCAGCCAATCTAGACTTGGCAGCCAGAACCCTGCTCTGCTAAACCTCCAGAGAACATGCAATAGGCACACACACGCACGCACGCACACACATACACTACAACATATGTGCAAAAATACAGAAAAAAAAAATTCATATTTTACTTTTCTTGACAAATGAAGCGAGTTTTTCTTTTCATGAAGTAAAAAAAAAAAAGTTCCACAGGAGCAGAGACAGCTGTGAGTCTGGGAACTTGGTCCGCTGTGTGTGTGTGTGTGTGTGAGGTGGTCAACAGGTTAACACTGGTGGGTGGGAGACAATATGTGGCGTCAGTGATGCAGCAGCAGAGGTGTGTGTGTGTCCGTGTGTGTTTTGGCTCAGGTTGGGACCAAGGTGAAGTTAAGGATGTAGAGGCAGCACAGAGCGGGGCAACTCCACCCACACAGTCTCTGCTGCACCGGCCGAGCTAAACTGTCTGCCAGGACACACACCAACTGGACTTTAACAAAGAGACCAACAGCTCTGGGGAAACACACTAAGAAGTATATATATATATATATGTGTGTACTTCCTACTGCGTTAGTGCGTAACTTCAGATATTTCACCAAAACTTTCTATTGACTTCACTGACGCTAAAGAAACCAGAGGTAAATGAACAGAGAGACATCTGTCAAACACAGAAGGTCAGATTAAAACCTCAGAACAATTTCAAAATAAATGAATAAACAGACGCAAACCTAAGGAGAGGTCAAAGGTCACTGAAAACACAGCAGAAATCACTACAGCAGAGAAACTACAGCCACGCGGTTTAAACATATCCTGATGAGCAGCTAAAGCTACGAGGAGGAAAAAAAAAAGAATAAATCAGTCATTCATCTGAGTCATGGAGGTGTGAAGCTTCAGCACCAGAAATAAACCATGTGATAAACTGCTAAGAAGACCAGCTGTTGGTCTGTGTTCCAACCAGGGCACAGTAAATATAAGGGGAGGGGACCCAGGGAGTGTACAGTGATGTGAACACCGGGACTCACTGACCTGAGGTCAAACACATCAATCTGTTTCAGCTTTAAAAAAAAAAAAAGATTTGAAAATTTAGAATTTGAAGTATGTACTTAAACACTACTGTGGAGGTTAAAGTAATCATTCAGGAACAAAAACTGTAAATTGTTTTCCTGAGATGGTCAGGTGGACACTGTGTGTGTGTGTGTGTGTGTGTGTGTGTGTTCTCTGCACCTGTCCTTCATGCGCTGGTGCATGTGACCGTGGTGGACACACTGTTTCTCCATGCTGCTGCAGCGAGCTCTCAGACTGTTGACTGTCTTCTTGTGGTGTTCGTCCTCCATCCTGTACACACACACACACACACACACACACAGATCAGCCCCACGTTGTACAAATATGTTACATCAGTGAAGCGTGTGGCTCATGGTTCCTTAAGGTACTCTGGCGCCCCCCAGGGGAGGGAAAACAATGATGAGAAGGGCAATTGCAGGGAAACATGAAACTGATTTGATGAGAAGAAAAAATAGATTTTTCCTGGAGACAGTGAGAAGGTACTGAATGAGAAGGGCAATTGCAGGGAAACATGAAACTGATTTGATGAGAAGAAAAAATAGATTTTTCCTGGAGACAGTGAGAAGGTACTGAATACTACTACTACTACTACTACTACTACTACTACTACTACTACTGCAGTTGGGGCTTTTTTTTTTTCTGAAGCACGCCCAAAAAAATAAACACACTGCAGCAGATAATAAAAATTTGACACAAAATATGGACGGGATCTGAACCCGACAACAGGACAGACATAAATTCACAGTCTTTGAACAGAACCAAGGTTTGTTGTTACAGACTGTAAAGACTGGGGTCTGAGGTGAAAGGCCCGGGGGAACAGAAGTAGGACCAGCGGGACGACCCGGTTTGACCTGGACCAAATGTTGACTTTGACATATTTTTAGCTCTGTCTTCTGTCGATACTCAGCCCTAAAAATATGATCCGTATCAGGATGGAGTCTGACATACTGTGATGCCACAGACACCACGACATGCTGAGGTTTTTATAAACAATTTAAGAGGAGAAGAACTACACAAAGATATAGTGAAACGAAATTTTTTGTGTGTTTTCTTACCGCCCGAACATTTCTACAGCTACAGTATAACGATGACAACAACAACGACCAAGATCACAGCCAACCATTAGGAGGAGAAGTCCTACGAGACAAACTTTGAGGACAATTTGGTTTTGACTTTTCTTATTTGTCTGAAACAGCCTCAGAGTCTCCCCCCTCAGTCTGACTGTGTCCATACAGCAGGACTTTAACCGCTACACTAAGCTCACACTGTAGGAGATGGAAGCAGCCTGAGGGACAAAAGACAGCAACACAGTCCTGCTACTGAACTACATCACACACACACACACACACACACACACACAGCGGAGCGTCGCAGGTCTGTAAAACCCCGTAAAGACACGTTAAAGGTGACAGAGCGCTCGTTGTCGCTCCGTGTGTTTGTTATTGATCGCGGCCCATAAAGACGGCAGCGTGCAGCGTCCCGTAGCTGGTGAGGCCAGTGCGATCTGTCAGGGCCAGATTGGGTGCTGTCATGTGACTAATGTGCAGCACAGCTCCAACAGCTGACAGGACACTGGGCCCAGGGTCACTGTCACACACACATGGGCGGCCCAGATGGAGCGCTGCGCGGCCCTGCTGTGACGACTGTAGCATCAGGTTAACAAGAAAACAGGTCAGTGAGGGATGTTGGCATGTTCAGTCCAAACAGCCTGAAGAGATGAGCAGGATGTCAGGAAAAACAACAACCCAGGAAGAAGGAAAAAAAATCATTTCTGATGGAGAACAAAAGAAAAAAACACCATGTCTTAAACCAAAGAAACCAAAAGGTTAAAAGAACCAAATCCTGACCTGTTTTTTTCAGTCACTTCTTCAACTCTGGTCAGGAGTTCGCAGCATTCCTCCTTCAGCCTCTTTATCAAGGAATTCTGGGAAGTCAGCAGAGCGTCCATTTCTCCAACTGCAGAGACGAGGAGTTCAGTTTGACGATCACACGGTAACATGGAGCAGATTTCACACCAACTACAATGCACTTCCTCGGCCGACATGGCCACAGTGTAATCCAACTTCTGCCCGACATGAAGAAGGATTTGTGTTTGAATCCACCACATCCTTAATACAATGTCCTTTTTTTAAATTTCCTCCTAAAACATTCTCTCTTTGTGCAGATGTTTGTCCAAACTGTGAACCACTTCACTGGTTTAATTTACTGCACACATGATGAAACTCAAGTTCACATTTAGAAAAAAAAAAAAAAAAGACTTCTATCCTTAGACGAGCAGTTGGTTCTGATTTTTTTAATTATTAAATTTGGCTGAGTTTGATAAAAGTTTGGATCTTCCCTCCATCGCTGCCTAATTATATCTTTACACCAACTATGATAATTATTTCTTTAATTATTCCTTCAAACTTAAACCAGAAGCATTTAAACAGCTTTTAATTGTCTGAACACGCTGTTTTTTTAATATCCCTATTAATCACATGTTCTTTTGATGTAACTTCAGCTTTTGTACGAGATGTGTACTGTGTAAAATACTCTGTATCCTCACATCTGAATAAACTGAACAGGAAATGACAAACGTCTCTGAATCATTTCCACAAAGTCCTTGTTTTTAGGAAATCCAAGAAATTAAATCTGTTAAAACAAAAGCAGTAAATACAGAAAGAAACAGATGCAAAGAATAAAAAAAAAACACGTCGAGGAAAAAGTTAGTGTTGTTTCAAAGCAGCTTTTTTCTTTCTTTCCTTTTCCCATCATCCCTCGCTCTCATCCTCTGCCGCTCACAGGAGCCTCTTTCTGAACAATCCAACACTGGGCTTTCATCATTCCTTTGAAATCCAACATATGTCTGCTCTTTTTAAAATAACAATGGCTGCAGCTTGGACCGAGGAACGGTTCCACCTGCTCCTCCGTTCTGTTACAATCCAAATCAACCAAAAACAAAACAAACAAAAAAAAAATAACAGGACGGGCGGTCTTTGAAGAGCAGTAAAGAAGCCGACACTTTTACATTTTTGATTTTTTTTTGAGTACAGGAAAATATAGAGGTAAAGAATTAGACCTCTGCTGCCCCCAAAGACTGAAAGTTGAATCTACAAATAAAAATGATAAAAATAAAATGATGATAAAAATGAAAAGATGAAATTGAAATTTCATACAACATACAAATACAGTAGTATTTGTAGCAGTGTATTAACAAGAATCTGTTGATACGAGTATCACGATACAGTGGCAACAATATTGCGATATATATTGTGATACTATAGTTATGATGATATATTGAGTTTCTTTTTCCCCACAATGTAACTGTAATCCCAGTGTGATCCTAGTCTCAGACTCTGTTCCATCTGAACATCAGTTCCTAACACTGGAACAGAGGGATCTACATTTGGAATCACTAGAGAAGAAAGAAAAGAAAAAGAAAATGAACCAACACCAGGAATATTGGACTGGGAATTGGTGAGAAAAAAATCAATAATCAATGATGGAGGAGATTGATACGGTATCGTCAATACACCGAAGTATGTTGATATTTTCATACACCTCTAATTCTCAGTGACAGTGGTGGCCTAGTGGTAAAGGAAGCGGACTTCGGTCCGGAAAGCCCCAGGTTCGAATCCACCAACTGCCAGGTTGCCACTGAGATGCACTGAGCATGGCATCGTCCTCAAGCACTGCTCCTTTCGTTGTGCATGGTGTGCATAAAGATAAGTTTAAGTTTTAAGACTCATTTCAAAAAGACTCTTGAACACGTCCTTTATTTTTCATTATTCTGTTCCTCTAAACCAGCGGCGTTGATGAAATGCGGGGTCTCCGCCGCTGACGACTGCAGAGAGCGGACGTCAATAAAACACATGCTCACCAGCAAAGTTTGATCAGCGCTCGGAGAACTTGTATGAAGAATGCTAATTAGCTGAACAGGCTTTGAATGCGTCTGTCCGTGTAAAGTCCAAACAGAACCCTGGGACACAGAAGCCCAGCAGAACTGGCAGTGGAAACAAACAGAGGAGGAAGGGGGAGGGCGGGGGGGAGAGAGAGAGAGAGAAATATCTGATATCATCTAGAGGCTGGTTCGGAGCGCCTAGAGGCTGCTCTGTACGCATTTACTTAAAAAAGAATCAGAAAATAAAAAGTGGGGGAAAAAAAAAAGGTGGATAAATGGAAGGACACACGGGTGGATGGATGGAGAGGCGGGACTTGGAGAGCGAGAAAGCTAATTATCCAGCTCGTCTGTTGGGCTGCACGGGGAGAGGAAGTGATGCGAGCGACTAAAGGACGTCCACCCCTCTGTCCCCTCCCTGTCCACGGTGTCCTGCTGCGCTCTGATGTCAGCTCTCTTTAGACAACATGTGTGCTGCCGACACACGCCAGAAACACAGCCTTTGTTTACCCCCCCCCTCCCCCACCCTCCCCTCGCCTCCCTCCGTCCTCCCTGTGTACCCTCCATCTTTGTTCTGTGCAGCAGCAGACTCCCTGTTTGTGGAAGTTAACCACAGGTAAATAAAAAGAGACGAGAAGAAGCGGTGGAGGGAGGGAGGGAGGATGGTGGGAGGCTGTGCTGTGGAGGGGAGGAGGGAGGGGGAGGGGGCGGCTTGTTCCAGATGGTGCAACAGATGTGCTAACAGCAGCAGCTCTGCTGTGCAGACAGACAGAGAGCTCAGCGCTGGGTCTCTCTGTACTGCCCCCACCCTCACCTCCACCTCCACCTCCTCTCTGCTCCTCTGCTCCATCCTTCTTCCTGATTCTTGTTTTGTTCTAAGTTTTGTTCTTTTGAGGTCACTTCAGCCCCCCACTCCCTCTTCCCTCTCCCACTGACGGTCATGTTGTGATGGAGGTTAGTGAAGTGGAGGAAACATTCTGCTGAAGGGTGTAGCGTTTACACTGTTCTGCCTGTGTGTGTTTTGGGGGGGGGGGGGGGCCACAGTTAAATATTCCTGGCGTTGGTTCATAAAAATATCTCGTCGTGTCTATAGTATCACAGTAAATCACAATATATCGAACTGTTGCCCCCGTGTCGTGATACGTATCGTATCGACAGATCAGTGCCAGGAATTAAACCAGAGGGTTCATAAATATTTGGACTAAAAATGAGGGAAATCAGGTCAGAATTGATTTTTGTTTATGACAAACCGACACCGATGTTTGTGTTCCAACAAATGACGAACACATCAGCGTCAGTGTTGGTTCATACTCAGAGCTCAGCAGACGTGAAGGAGCAGAACCAGAACACCTACTGTGGACGGACACACACCTCTCTGCTGGTGCTGAGACTCCATTTGCTCCAGCAGGACCATCAGCTTCCTCTCCATCTCCTGAGCTGAGAGTTGTGTGGATTCCAGTTCGTCCTGATGAGCACGATCGGCGTAATCTCTGTCCTGTCTGGAGAGGAGGTGGGAAAGAAGAGCGCCAATCAGAAAAGAACGAACGAACGAATGAATGAATGGACAGTGTTTTACATTAACAATCCTGGAGTGACAGAAGAACTAGACACATGTAGGCAGGACACAGAAAATGAAATAAAAAAAAAATAGAAAGAAAAGGAAGGTGAAGGAAATCCCCCCTAAAAGAAATGAACCAAAGGTCAGGACAGACTCAGGAGGTCCAAGTGCAGGGTCACAGTCAGCAGCAGGACCCCTGAGTGCTGCTGCAGCTGCCCACACACACACACACACCAATTCTTTAGCTTTTTAACCTGACCTTAACTATAACAGTCTAGTCTGAGCCTACACCCCCCGACCCATCCCCCCTCCCCCACCTACAGCAGCTGACCATTTATACACCGACTGTAGAGCCCGTCGTGTGTGACGCGGACTTCGCACCGGTCATCCTCTCTGAAGAAACCCTTCTACGTTGTCCTGCCCGGAGACTGGCACCAGGAGGTCACGTGAGGTCAACTGTACTTTCTGTGAACGTGTGTGTGTGTGTGCGCAACGAGCAGCAGAGGTTTGAGAAGAACCACCTTTTCTACTGTAAAACACTGCAGCTGATGGTTGACCTTACGTCACAGCTTCACGGACTGTTCCCCCCCCCCCCCACAACACAAACACACACACAGTCAGTTGGACTGAACAGGTGCTCGTCCCTGTTCTGATTTTACTCCGGTTTGAAGTAAACTTTCCGACACAACTACGTCCAACTGAAGCAGAACAACAGAGGAGCAGACAAAGATAGAAAAAAACTGCAAAGATGGGAGAGAAAAAAAAATAGAACTCATAAAACAAAACTCTTCCTGAAGTCCAAAGGCGCTAATGAAGAGAGAATTCTCCAGTTTAGGTGAAAACTTTTCTCCCCTGCAGCGTTTGGCCTGCATCTCTAAAGTGACCGCGTCTGTCTATTCCTCCGTGTGTGTGTGTGTGTTCTCCTGCTGTCCTGCTGTCTGGGGTGTGAAAGCGGGTGGCGGGTGTGCAGGGGACACAAGGAGCCTGTGTGTGTCTGTACGTGTGTGTGTGTGAGTGAATGAACCCCCGCTGGGTTTGAACAGCAGCCTGAGCCACCAAAGCACACACCAGGGCTCAGCGGGAGATGGCGGGCAGACGTTGCCAGCCATTTGGTCCTGTAAGAGGTTCCAGGGGGCCGCGTGCATTAGTGTGTCTAAGTGTGCGTTAGTGAGTGTGTGTGTGTTTGTAAGCGAGAGGGTTGGTGGGTGGGTAGGACACACACAGCAGACCTGTTTACCCACCAATTAGCATCAGACAGATCGCCAGAAAGTTCCAGCAGTAAGTGACTGTCTCTACACCTCCAGCCACCGTACAGTCACGGTCAGATTAAACTCAAAGTAAATCTAATAAAGCAGTTCTCACGCCACTGTGTCTGTGGTAATCAGGACCAGGCTTTAAAGTTCACAGACGCTGGTTCTACATCATGTTCTTGTTCTTGTTCACCCACCAGCCAGTGAGCAGCACAAATTCGAAAGAAAGAAGTGACGAAAGACGAAAGACGGAGTGGACTCAGAATAGAGAGCGGCCCTGGAGTGAGAACACAGAGAGAGAGAGGAAAAAAATAAAGATCTGTGAATCTGGACCTGGATTATTCTCTCTGGACCATAATCTGCCTTCCAGCTAATTGCTGAATGGACTCTGGGTTGCTGCCTGTGGCAGGAACTCTTGTTTGGGCCGATGGAGGCGATAGAGTGAACACTGAGTTAGAGCGGAGCCGGGCATGTTTGTCTACGCCTGGCCTGATGCGCTGCTGGACAGATTGATAAGTACGGCCAGAGCGGTGTGGGCCAGGGGCCGTAGGTAGACTGGAATGGCTCTGGGGCTGCGGCCAGGTACAGTGGCTGCTGGGTAAGTGGGAGGTGGCAGAGGCAGGAGCTGGCTGGAGTGGTGAGAAAGGAGAGGGGGCCCAGACCACACTGCCCGCCTAAGTGGGCACTATTCAAGCTGTTGCCCATTAGATGTGGGGTGCCAGGGCCTGACCAAGCGCAGAGTTTGCAGCACGCCGCGGTGCAGCCGACATCCCATGCCAGAAGCGCCAAATGCCGCGGTTTATCAGAGAACGAACATAAATTGGAGTCAGACGGCGGACTTGGAGGAGTGAAGACATTTGCAAACACCAACACCACCGACTGCTGTCAGGAATTAAGGGCAGAAAAAAAAAAGAAAAACAAGAATATATTCTTTCCCAGTAAATATACAATTTCACCCACACATATAAATAAATACTAAAAATGAAAATGAGCTACTGTTGAAAAACACAGACAGACGCAGAAATGAAAAAAAAGAAAAAAGGCCGTCATTTACACAGATGTGAAGAAGCTTTAGACAAGATTCACGAAGAATGTCCTCGTCAAAGTGAAAGAACAGCAAAGCCTCCGGTCACCTGACCACTTCAGTGAAGGCCTCGGATCTTAGATGACCTCTGTGATGATGTGGTGAATGACCTCTGCCCTTTCACTCAACCTCCTACAGCATTTGTATCAGAACGAGATGGTTTTACACAAAAACATTTTATAGCTGTTGATTATTTGTTGATTTCTCCAATCTGTAAAACGGTTCTAATAATAATAATAATAATAATTTGACATCTTAAGATGACACCAGTCATGGTGGGCTACATCCATCAGACACTACCGTAGTCAATGTCTATAATGACAGTGTAGACGCAGTCACTTCAGAGAGGTCAAGGGTCATATATCCATGCTGTGATGGAGGAGCCGCGGCTGCGTTTCACTCGCCGTCTCACATCGGCCACATCAGTGGAGTCTCTTTAACGGCTGGATTTAACCTGAGTGCAGCGCGGCCCACATTCCCATCTCTCTGTCCATCTATCAAACACAGCTCTCTCATCTCTGCTCCCATTTTTTTTTTTTCATAAAGTCTCTCAATTTCCCCCTCCCACCCTTTTTTCCTGTAACTAAACTGGCTGTGTCTCTCTCCATCTGCTGGTTCTTCCTTCAGCAGCCCTGCACCTGTTCACACCTCCTCTCCTGTTGGCCACCTCTTCTCTCTTCTACTCCCCCCGTCTCTCTCCCTCTTTCTCTTTTGCTCTCCCTCTCCCTCCCTCCCTCTCTCTCTCTCTCTCTCGGCTCAGTGCGATGCTGCCAGGCCCGTTCCTGGCTCACTTAGCCTCTCTGTCATTCAATCCATCTGTCAGCAAGTCAACTCTGTTTACAGCGGGCGGCCGGAGCCTCTTCTCTTCTTCAAGGAGCACTGGACCCCCCCTCGCCCCCACCATCAGCACCAAGGTCAGCAGCCAGCACATCGTGGGTAAAATACAAAAATAAACTCAAATAATAAATCTGAAAAAAAAAACTCCTGAACCTAAAGTCCACATCGTAAAGGAGGATAAAAAGCCTCTTCAAAAACACCGTCTGAAACGACATCGTACGTTTGAATTCACACGTGAACACACGACCCTGGCACGCACCACGCACACATTTGCTGCGACAACTCAACATTCCTGCAGAAGAAGAAGAAGAAAAAAAAAAGAAAACCCCACCAGCTTTAGTCTGAAGTAATTAGCTGTTGATTGGCCTCTGTCACCGTCGTATAACTGCACAGAGAAACAGAGAAGGAGACGCAAAAGTTTTAATTAGCACAGATGATCTGTGGTCGAAACAGAGGTACGCAGCCAACTGGCAGCACAGTCAATCTGTGGCGCCTTTAAAAATAAACCACAGCAAACGATCGATACGCTGGGACGTCAGACTGGAGCACGGAGTCGGATACACTGAGTGAAGTCAGACAGAGTGGTCTGGTGGTCTGGGGGGGTACGGTGTCATGACCGGGGGTCTTTATACACTGAGTGAAGTCAGACGGGTACGGTGTCATGACCGGGGGTCTTTGACTGTGTGTGACTCTCTTCATTTGTTTCCTGTCACAAATATTCTTTACTTAGAAAAAGAAAAAAAAACCCAGGGCAATTTGGTCCACAGGATCAGTCCTGTTGGGTCAGGAGTTCAACTCCAGACATGGGTCAAGACAGTTGGTACTTTGTATTTACTGTGGTTCCATAGTGTAGAGCAGCGGTCGGCCGGTGTCAGCCGTTACTGCGGACCTGTTAATACGCCGCCACCGCTGAGGGATCGTTAAAGACTTTCAAAATAAAACATCTTTCGGACTTTCAGACATCTTTGAATAGAAAAAAGTAAAGGGATATGACAAAACTGATGAGGAGTGATGAAGAGCTGATCGCAGTTTTTCTTTGGGGGGGCTGAGAGGGTTGGGGAGGTGGGATAGGGGTGGGGAGGGTGATGCTTCACTCCTCTTCTGTTCTCTGTCCTCCAGCTCTGCTCTGTGTATGTAGGCCAGTGTCCCAGGGCACTCTTGGCTGAGGTGACAACAGTTGTAGCCGACAGATTTGCCTCCACTTCGCCTCAGGTCGCCCAGTAAGCGATCTGCCTATTTCATCCATTCCCACCCCCACAAGATGGTCAGGCCACAGCCCTGGTTCAGATCCTGTCAGGGACTCTGCTGAACACACACTCTCTCTCTCACACACACACAGACACACACACACACCAGTCACATCCCAGTTTCATCACAGAGTGTGATATTAGTGGAGCACATGAGTCAGTGGACTGACTGACTTTGACTCACCCACACCGACTCTCTGAAGGTGACACCCGGGGGTTCAGCACCACCAGGCTTTTAAAGCACTTTCAAGGTCTATTTCCAGGCTACGCTGTCACTTAAAGAACATCACACATCAGTTACAGCGGCTGACCAGTGGAGGTGCTCACGCTTCACGTTAATCACACACCAACCGTCAGGTTCTTTTTAAAATGATGTACTGAATCTACTGTAGCAACGGTCACCACAGATTTCTGGAGCCAGCCCCTGCTGGCCAGTTGTGGTACTATAACCAAATGGCATTTTAGGTGGTATCTCGTTGAGCAGTACCAGTAATGTCTACACATTTGATGGCTTAGATATAAA